TGTCTCAAGCAAAATCGACCGGACCGCTCTTACAGAGACACTCTCTTAAATTTTCTATTTTGATCCTCGCATAGGGAAAATAAAAACGTTTGCCGTAAAAGTTGGAAAGAAATTATCTTGAAATTTGTAACAATCATTTCTCCGAAGTTTTTTGATAAAACTTGGAAAAAAACGCTTTGAAGTTCTCACTCAGCAGCATCCAAGAGGGGCCTTGTCTGTTCGTCGCTGGAGCAATGAGTGTTGCCAGACCGATGACAAAGTCTGCCAGCTTGCTCGAAAAGAAATAACAAAACGCGGAGGAGTTGAGAGAGAATGGCACTAATGACCAAAACGGACACTAATACCGGTACAATCCCCAGTACACCAACCTCGAACCATTCCATAACATCAAGAAAACTTCCGTAAGGCCCGATGACCGTGATACCAAATGATATCAGGGTTGCTTTGGTAAGATTAATTATGGAAATAATTAACAAAGCAGTAAGGGACAATGTCTCGACTCTGTTAGCTATCACATTTCGAAATGGATACTTTAAGACATGGTGGAGTGCTATCAGAGAGCAAGCTGTAGCCATAGCGATCATTCGTACCATTGGCCTCTTTATGAACGAATGAAAAACAAGGAGAATTAGTCTTCGGCCAATCAGCACGCTCTCCCAGTAGAGCGTCCCTCCATCGTCGCTCCTCGGTGGACGGAAAGGACCATGAAGTACTTCCATGACATCTTTGTTCACAGCTTGTACTGCAAGAGATTCATTCCCTGGTCGTTTCTCGGTTTTCTTAAGAAGCCAATAGACAAGAAATGGCAATGGAAGCACGCACGCAGCAAGAAATTCAGTTTCTTTCATTGAACCCTTGTAAAGCTTGGATGATCCGAGGTAAAGAACGACAATGAAGGGGACAATAAACACCGCAATGCAGGCGAGAACGAGATACTGCCACCACTGCATGCATGTAACATTTGCATCGATAAAAAGCCGCATTTCAGATCCGATTGATACACAGGTCATCAATTTGAGGCAAGTTTCAGCCAGTCTTTCGTAACCTAACAGCAACACTTCCATGGTGACGGCCATGTAATGGATGAGGGATGGCTTCTGGTTGCGCCTAATTATGTTGATAACACAGTGGACGAAATAAACGAGAGCAACGTCAGCCATTGTCAAGAAAACGGTACCGGAAAGAACCAGTTGCTTTGTCACCGATGTTAGCCCAGGGAAAGGGCAACCGAGCCCTTTATTAAGGGCGCGTAGCTTAAAGTTGAACACAGCGATAACTGCAGAGATACCTGGCACCGTTTGCAGAAGGCTCTCTTTAGAACTGACCATCAAA